CATATCGGCAAAGCTCAAAGAGTTAATCGTATGTCCGCGAGGCAGAGGACAGAACGGGAGAGGAAAAAAAAGCGCCGCGAGCCGGCCGCGCGTGTATTTTCGATAATTATTCGACAGTCGATTTGCGTGCGGATGGACTGCGCATTGCGGGGTGGGCGGGGGCGGAAAGGGGATAAACGGGGAGGAGAGGGAAGGGGTTGAACGAGAGAGCGGTCGAGAGCGGGTTGCCGGGGGATTGTGAGAGAAGGGGGGCCGGGAGAGTAGACGCGATTGTGGGGTCGCGGGGGTGGTTTCCGAGAGTCGCGTTCAACCATCCGGAAGCTATGAATATATTATTTGACGGGCAGTTTCGGTAGACTCCGATCGGATGGAGCATCGATCATGGCTGGCGCATCCCTTTGGGCCATTTTCATGCGTCAGAATGCGACACGCCTGTGATCGAGCGATTGCCGCGAAAATAAAAAAAGCCCAGGAGGGCAGGGGGGAAGAGAGAGAGAGAGAGAGAGAAAAGAGGGATGCGCACATGAGCGCGCATGCGAAAGCGCGCGCAAACAACGCCGGCCGCTAACCAGCACGATATTTTTCCTCAGCGAGGAAAAAAAAAATTCGTCGAACGGCGGCGATGTGTTAAAAACAAATTAGACGTCGAGCGACGGCACGATTCCTGTTCCTTCGGGAGGTAAGACAGTCAACAGGTAAGCGAAGCAAGCAAATGCATATCTGCGAGAGATCAATTTACGTAGATAATCGAAGAACGACTCTACTATGACTTCTCGCATACCTCCCCTTATCTTCAGTTTTCTTTTTTTATTTCTATCACGATTAGGCTAATTAGTTTAATTTTTACAGGAACTATTTAACGATTCTGTATAATAAATATCAATAGATTTGTTATTTGAAATTCCCAAAAATTCTTTACTTAAAAAGATACAATATATATTCTTAAAGAAAGAGAAAGCAAAGCTTTTGAGTGCAGAAAGTATAACCAATACGCGAACGGATCTTATTTCATATCTTAACATTTGTCGAGCAATCGAAATCCATAGAAACTCGTCAACAGTCTGCAGATTAAATGAACGCGCATTCCGCTCGCAATTACTATAGAAGAATCTCGTCAAAGGCTACTTATATCTCTCCTAATTGAATAGTCGAAATTACAGTTGTTAGTCAAACTTAAACAACCTCGAGCAATGATAACCGGAATTTTCGCAAAGACAGATTGCCGCTCGAAGGAAGGATGAAGATAATGAACCAAGTAGTTAAAATTACAACGGAATATCCGTTCGGCCGAATGTTCTGCTTTCTGCAGTGTGCTAGAGCTCGGATTTAAGTACCACAAAATCTAGTATTTTTGCTTTTTAAGTGATGTATGAATTTCTGAAATAATCTTTAATTAGTGAGATTACAGGCTTTTGTACAAATCAATCTATGTCAAATAAATATAATTGTTAAATATATCGAATTACATACATCCAATTTATACTCAAAATAAAATAATAATTTTATATCCAATAATAAAAAAAAATTTATATCCAATTGAAAATAATTTTATATCCAATTTAATAATTTTTGAAAAATAGTGTCAAGTATACTGTAAAGATTATCAATAATTTTTCGATGGTCATATTGATATATTTAATGATCGTATTTATTTAATTGTATCTATTATTACAAGTAATAACGTAGATAATATTTAGTATAAAGGTAAAGTATTGTTTAATAGAAAAACAATTTATTTTAAGTTATGTCATTACTTAAATTTCTATCAACTTGATCTAACATTCCGGGAATCGCGCGATTGGAACGCATCCGTGGGCGGTAAGCTGTTCATGGAGAAATCGCAGTGGGTGGTCCTTTCTTCGTAGTAATCGAGTAGAAAATTCAATCGCGATCTGACTTTCGCATGGCTAGTTTCGCTCATTGTTATTGATTCGATTTTCAAAAGATAGCCTCCGAGAGGAAGAAAGCAGTATTTTCCAATCGATCTCTTTCTTTTCTCTGCGACTCGTCGCAGCTGTCGACGTTACAGCTTCAATCGGCTGCGCACCGATTTACCTATGGTTTGTTATCAATTCTCTCCTGGACGTTCATGTGTTTTCCAGCGCGCATTATAATTGAAAGTAACACAAATTTAAATTCCCCATTATTTTTTACCAAGATATTTTTAACGCCATATAACATTATTATTTACATGAATTCACGTAATAAATCATGTAAAAACGTACAAGAATAATTCAATTGAAAAATTAGAATTTAATTAGTTTAATTAAGTATGTAGCTTACAATTTACAATATCAAATGTAAGTAGTTTAATTAAATGTCTCATCGAAAATATAAAGTGATTCGCAATTGTAATAGAAAAATTAATTAACCAACATTCAACGCGGAATTATTAATATTCAAATAGGTTTCTCCATCAGTCGAGATGAAAGTGGTACCCAGAACGGTACCAGAATTAATCGCGATTACAAAGCGTCGTGCCACACGGGCATACGAGAGCAATGATACGAGATGCACCCCCGAAAAATTCGGGACCGCGGCGCAGAAGAGTGGAGGAGGGGGAAGAAGGGAGAGCAAAACGCGGTACTGGAAGATGCAGTCCGACGTAACCTTTGACGTCGGGTCGCGTTGCGTTATAGTCGGCAGGCGCGCTTTGAAGTCGCGTGTATTTTAATGCAACGGCGAACTGTGCATATCGAGAGACTGCTGAATTAATCGCAGGGCACTCTGCGCGGGACGAGGGCGGTAGGGAGGTCGGAAAAGGGGATGGAACGGGGAAAACCGGTGGAGTGAAGGAGGGAGAGGGGGACGAGACGGCCCCGCTTTTCTGGGGCACGTGCCCATGGGTATCGGTATTTCGGGGTGCGTTAATACCTCACTATCCAGACGGATAGAGAGAGAACAGAGCGAAACATCCACTCCTGCACATTGTTTGCGGCTTGGAATCAATAAAAGCATAGCTTTAGGCTACGATGGTCGCCATGGCAACCGGAGACCCATCCGTGCACTATCCCACTCACTCTGTCTCTCTCCCTCCCCTCCTCTCTCTCTCTCCCTCTCCCCTCTCTCTCTCTCTCTCTCGCTCTCTCTCTCTTCCTCGTCCTTTTCCCTCTTCCCCGTCGTTCCTCGCCACCCCCGCGTCTCCCTCAAACCCCCCGCAGTTTATCTCTGTCCCTCTTCGACCCTCAAACACGCACACCCTCTGTTCTTCTCCCGTCTTCTCTCTTTCTCTTTTTTCCTCTTTCTCCCTCGCGCCCTTTCGAACGCCGCATCTGCGTGGCGTTTTCCTTCTCTTTTTCCTCGCTTCTCCTTTTTTTTTATTCTCTTTCTCCATCTCTTCACTATCTTCTCAAAAAATTCTAGTTCGGCTGCAACTCAAATTTGCAGCCGCGATAAAGCGCTCTTAAACTCACATCGCGATTTAATTACAATAAGAGCGATTCGAGAAAACGAATTTCCCGGTGCCTCTTGATGTTTTTTTCATAATAAGCAAAATATATGTAACTGCTAGAGATATACGTAAAATAAACTTTTATTCTCAGATAAGTCGGTAAAAAAATTTTTTTTTTCGACTTGAATTTCTATTACAAGCCTCATCAGTAACATCGAAAAAGATTTGATCTTTATTGTACTTTGATTGATTTTGAATTCTAAAAATCTAATGAGATTTGTTAATAGAATGAATGGTAGATCAACGGCAGAAATTGAAAAGCTGCGATTTTTAGTAGTACAATGTGACACCATTGTTAACTTTTGCGTAAAACGTGGGCATCCGTATAGCAAATAACGACAATATTAATAAATATTGTTACTATTTGTACTGCTACATAAACGTGGATACGCGCGCAGTGGGATATTTTAATACCTTAAAAATATATATTTATCGAATATCTGTGCTGTACAGAAACAGTTGCGTAATAATGCATAACAAAAGGTCGAGTTTCCGCATGAAGAGCTTTTGGAGTTCTTGCCGTGCGGAATGAAGAGGATCAAACCGCAAATAATAGCAAAAATATCACCGCTGGTATCGTCGTGATTTCGTCTAAAATTTGTATAAACGTAATAACAGTAACAGTTCTGCGTAAGTACTTATTGGCTGTATCCACATGAAAGAGGGACGCGAAAAAATCTCTCAGAATTTCCTAATTTTCAGACATTCTCGTTTAATTTTCCAGGCAAAATTATACTTTTGCATGAAAATTCAAGATAGATATAGTTGCTAAGTGGATTTCGTCGCGTTTATAATCATATGAATAAGAAAATTAAGAATCAACTCAAGTGTCTAATAATAGATTTGAAGAAAGCAATACGCTCTTACAAAACTAACATTTCATATAAAAATTTTTATTATTTTTAAGAAATAGATCGAACTATAAATTGCATAGTGCATATGGAAACTTTGAATGGAAGAAGTATATTTAGAATATATTTTTAAAATAAAAAACATATTCTACAGAGATATATTTTTAATATTCTATAAATATATCCTAAAATATATTTTTAAAATTAAAAGTGAGAGAAAAAATTAAAAACATCTAGAACATATTTTTAATAAGCAGAATTCAACTCTCTCAGGAAAATATTTTAAAATAAATGTCTGCTGAACAAGACCATCGTTTAACCGCTAATTTGACCGACTCCTTTTTCTCTCGCAAAATAAAGAGAAGCAAGATCATCGAAAGGAAGATTTCAACAGAAATTCCCTGAGTTCCGATAAAATTCCCTGATAATTCTCGGCTTCTCTATACGAGGAAAGTTTCAGAAGAATTCCAGGTTTTTCGAATCTTTCCTGGATGATGAACACTCAACGTGAGTCGGACGGAGTAATCCGCGTGCTTATTCCGCGCGGCAAAAGAAGCGAGATGATCGGATTAGCCGACTTTTCGCAGGGATTTGGACGAAAACCAAACGAGAGAGCCCGCTCAAAGAGAGCGGCCGTGCGTTCGGAGCAACTCGTCCAGCACGCAAACTCCGCTGGAAAAACGTCGATAAGCGTCGCATGCTTCTGGCCGATCAAGTCGAGAGCGACCGGGGTCTCGTGGAACCCGTGCAGGGGATCGAGACAGCGAAGGGTGGATCGAGCAGTCGATCTTTGCGGGCGGGGTCGGATCCATCGCCGACCGGGTCGATCGACGCACCGCCGCGAGAAGTCAAAGATAAGGTAAAGATATAAATGCCGAGCGTTCGCCACCTGCGCTACGAGATTCCGCTTCGGTGCAAAGCGGCCGAGAGAAGTCCAGGTTAAGATCCATGACGTGGCGCTCCATCTATCCGGGGGGTGGCGACTACCTTTCACGAGGGGTAGTCTCCAGCTTTGCGAGACGCGAGATATCCGCCGATAATTATGGCTAGCGGATGTCGGACAGCTAGAGGATATTCGCTGCTGAGAAACACGGAGATGTCGGGTTTTGTGATGACAGTTTCATGTATGATATTGCGGAGACATATGTCCAGTCTCCGATAACACTGATAAAATTATCGCGGATATAAATTTACACTTGGATAGGATAACTTCACGAGTAATAGTATGCTTGATAACTTTTAAATCATATCGTATATTGCTTCCTTTGCTTCAAAAGTGACACAACTCAAAAAATTAAGTTTCTCAAAAAAAAAGTTATTTTTCAAATATTATTGTTCAGCTTGGTGGAAAATTATTGATTAATAAAATATAATATTAGCAAAAAAATATATTTCCAACATAATTAAATATATTGGTGAAAAATATCAAAAAGCTCATCAAAACCTACATTGGCTGTTCGGATGCACAGAAAACACTTTATTTTCGTGTGAATGTAACAAAACGAATAAAATAAATGTTTCAATTCGGGTTCTTATCAATTTTGATTCATATAAAATATAAAAAAAAAATTACATAATCGAAATTACATAAGTAACGTAAATTCCAAGATGATGATTCCGGACAATTTAGTTCGTTCTTCTTTGTCCAAATGCCAAATTAGCTATGTAATAAATAGCCAAATGATTATCAAAAATATTAACTTATACAATAATAATATAAAAACTTACATAAAGTAAAACCGGATAATTAAATGTCATTTTTGTCATTTTCGTTCATATCCTTTGAAAAATCACCCCTTTGATTCGTGATTTTTTATTAATTAAATTAATTTACTTTTGATGATTGATAAGATAACTAAATATTATATTAATAAGATTGATATAATATTTATTTATTATAATTACTCGTTTATAATAGTAGCCTAAGAATTATGTATTTTTAAGTTGTATCACTTTTGAAGTAAAGGAGCGATGTATAAAAATGTATTGTATTTAAATACAATATGTTTAATAATACATAAAGTAAATGTAATGTACTAATCTATAATTATGTGACATTTAATGTATTACATTTGTGCTGTATAATAACATATTAGCATTTTATCTGCAACTCTAAAGTCTAGTAACAAAGTAGTCTTTGCTTGGATTACGAAATTGTTGCTTCATAGTTTCCTCGAAAATTAGCGTGATGAGTATCATTAAATTCCACAAAATATTAAAAGATACAAAAAACAGAAAATATCACTTTAAGAATATATGAAAAATTTTGACTAGTTCAAGGTCCTCTTCCATAATTGCGAGAATAAGGAATAGAAAATATATTTGTGTCGTGATACGAGTAATACCTGTACGCGGTCAATTTCGTTCCATGCCGGATTGATTAGCGTCAAATCCATAAGCTCATCTGTACATCCGTTATATATCGGGTAACATGAGATTGTTGCCGATCCCGATGATATTGGGGAGAATGTCAAGCGCAGGTCCCCTGTAAGGCGACACAGGTACATATGGGCTCTCCCGTAGTGAATGGACCAAATGATATAAATTATTTATAGATTTCGACACCCAGACAGAGAGAGACAGAAGCGGACGCGGAGGGTACGCGGAATTGGGGTGAGTCTGGGCCCCCTAGGGGGTCCGCTCGCGATCGAAAACCCCCGGGAGACTCCCCCGCGCTCCCCTTAACATATGCATTCTCGCTTCGAGATCACCGTAAGCCTATATAAAATTGATTCCTAAGTACCTTGTATTCGTGTCGGCCTCGTGTGTCTTTTAACACCTACATACTTGCCCCCCTTCCCCTTACTTTTCAAATTCGTAGCAAATAAGGAGCGAGTATGCAGCAACTATAGCTTCAGTTATCGATCATCTTCGGTAACGTGACAGATATGATAAACCTAGCTTGTTTTATCAATAGATCTCTATCAATAGAGAAATATTTTAAATATTATTCTTATAACGCGTAAAACGTGACTATTTTGTACTATTTGCCAATCTCAACTGTTTGTTTTTACTAATTACTTTACAGTTACTGTTTGTCTTTTTCTAATTTCAGTTTAAGCTAAAATAAAAGTGTTATATAGTCGAGGCTGACTAAACCATCTTAGACCCAATATAAAATTCCTAAAATTTCCTCCAATATAAAATTATTTCTCAGTTCAATTTATTGTTTATCTTTTTCTTATTCTGAGAATAGAATAAGTTAAACTGAGTTATGCCTATTCCCATCAACGTAGATTGACTTTAATCTCGGTCCAACTTACTCTTCGTCTTTTTCTAATCTTTAGAATTGGAAAAAGACGAAGAGTAAATTGAAGAGATTAAATTTTTAATCATTAGATTATTAGCGGGCATTAGAGAGAGTAAGTTAAATTGAGATTATTGTTAATCTTACATTGGTAGAACCGGTCCTTGAAGGACACAGAAATCTCGCTGACTGTACTATACCGAACACTTTCGAACTCGGTCTTGTAACAAATCGGAACGGGCCCGCGATCGTGCAGCTCGCCCCCCTGGGGTCCAATCTAAATCAATGGGCTTGTGGGTAATCGCATAATAATTACCATGGACCCCCTCTACCGCCCATCTGTCGCTGACCGACGGGGCGTACGACCCTCGGAAGAAGCAAGCACTCCATACACGGCGACACACCCGATGAACATGTCCCAGCAGGTCCCATTGTCGATGAGCACCGTTCGGAATGTCGCGAAGTTGAGACACCCCTCGGCAGTCACTACTCTTTCCAAACTGCCATACATTCGATCGTGTACAAACCACCGAAATGCAATTCTCAAACTAATATCTTACTTCAATTTAAATCCACAAATTAAGTCTCGTATGATGCTCATATCATAGATTATTGTTAGATTTCTTCAAAGCTATATAGACATATTTATTTAATGTAATAGAGAGTGTGAAGTATTATCATCAATGCGGCCATTTGTTTCAGATAACAAAATGGAAACAATATTTTTAATCAGCTTTTGCCTCGGCCTAGCGACCGGCCACTTTCGTGGACCACATCATCCAAGGAGCAGCGTGTCTCATCATCATTACACACCGGACAGCGACGCAATCAAATTGACGCAGGATGATGAACTCCTTCATGACGCAACGTGAGAAATAATTAAACAAAATAATTAGTTCTGTAAATAATCTTGCTGTTTTATAATTAATATATCATTAATTCCTTTATATATTTTTTTACATATAATATCTATTTACTACAACGATATAACTAAAAAAATTATCATTTTTTTAGTTGCTTACAAAAAAAAGAATGTAAACTTAAAGAAAAAGGACATAATTGAAAAGAACATACTTTTATTCCTTTACAATATTATTTTTACAAAAAATTTGCATTTTTAAATTGATATTATAAAATTTTAATGATGAAAGCATTCAAACTTATTTTCTGGAAAACTTTGTTTTTTTAATTATGTCGTTGTAGCAAATGATCTTGTGATTGTTTATCTTACGATTATAGACATTTAAAAGAAGATATGGGTTCCATGGCCGATCAACTTGATTTTTCGAAGATGACTGAACAAGAGATAGAGTTCCATTATTTTCAGTATGTTTCAGATATCAAAGATTGCTTCGTTTATCCGCCTTAAACATTTTTTTTTACACATTGTTAACATAGAAGTTTCGTAATTATAGAATTCACGATTTCGACAATAATACAAAGTTAGACGGATTAGAAATTCTTCACGCTCTTCAACATACGATGCATGAAAACGAGGAAGAAGGGATACAAAAAGCAGAGGAAGATTGGATTGTAGGTACGTTTCAATATATTCAGAAAATGTATATTATGTATAATATTACGATAAAAAATGTATATTATGTATATTATGTATAATATTACGATTCTTTTTGAAGTATACAATCAAATTATTAATCTCTATTTTGCCTTAGTACTAATAGATAAAGTGTTAGAAGAGGACGATTTAAACAACGATGGATATCTAGAATATGTCGAATATGTGTTGGGCAGACAAAGAGATCATGTCGCACAAGACAAACGCAACAAGCTCAGAATCGGAACATGAAGATTTTAGATATAAACGATTTGCATCATAGAGGATTTTTAATTGTATGTCAATATAGTTCGTGTCATAAAATTGAATTTAAAAATGATAAAGAAATGAAGGGAATTTTGGCGAAATAACTACTCAAATAACATGAAACACAAAATATATTGAAAAAAAAAAACAGAAAAATACAAAAAATAAAAAACGGTCAATATAAAATTGCAATCAAATAATATATAAATAATAAATTATTTGATTACAATTTTATATTGACTGTTTTTTATTTTCTGTTTCACTTTCTGTTTTTCGTTTTCAATATTTTTTTGTTTTATGTTATTTGAGTAGTTTTCGCCAAGATTTCCTTTATTTCTTTGTCACTTTTAAATTCAATTTTACCGTAAGTCAAAACATTTGAATTTCTGTAATATATAATAAAATTGATTACGCAACAATAACCGGTGTCGACTCTTAAAAGCGTTTTACTCCAGTTTGATTTAATACAAGTAACGACATGAATAAAATGTCGTAGTCTTCATTTGTAATGCAATTCAAAACATTTAGATCCATCTTCTAACCATTGATATATATAATTAGGAACTATCGTATATGTAAAAAAGAAATTATAAAATGTAAAATATATTGTAAGAGCTAATACAAATTATAAAAATTATAATAGGAATCAAGTACTATTGAGATATATATATCATACTGTTGACATTCAGTACTGTGGTCAGTATTCAATAATTAAGTTTGGAGATATCGCGAACCAATCAAAGGACTGCATTAACGTTTTATGACATTACTTGAAATAAGACTATGAATACCGGCCTAATAGTATTGGACACAATTTTTTACTTAACTATTGTCCATTTCATACAAGAACACTAAAAAAATTATTTTTTCGAAACAGATAAACTACATATAATATATATTTTAGATATTTATATGAAGAGCTTTGTATTACGGATTAAAGAAAAATTAACTCGGACGGAACATACGCTGTCGATTAAGGCAAAGGGAGTTCAAGTTTAGCAACAAGGGAAAATCTTGCGAATCAAACGTAAATGAGATTATTTCAACTCGGTATCATTCAGCTTATATCTTATGCTTTTTTTGATAACTGTGATGATAGTTACGCATATAAGAAAAGTAGTGTTCATATATGACCATGGTGATTATACATGTACATAACACCATGTATATAACACTCACATGAAAAAATCGAAATGAGTGAATTTAACTAAAGCGTGCCACATTATCCTTTATCATTATTCCTTACAGCTATTCCTCATGGAAATGCTCCGTCCAGGTTTTTGTTGTTTCTCTTCTTAAAAAAAAAACTATTTTAATTCTTTCTCTTTTAATTCAGTTCAGTGGAACCTTCGTTATAATTATATTTTTTTCCCAAAGATCTTTCACTACTTGAATCTATAATAATAAAAATAATCACAAGTTAAGATTGTACACACATCACTTAATAAAATATTGCAAACAATATATACTTCATACCTTTGTGTCAGTATCTTTGATTTTCAGATCCTTCACAGATATAAAATCAGGAAAGACATCTATTATTTGTTTAATTGCAGGCACAAATTCTTTGTCAATTTCTAAATATTGTGGCTCATAATCGTGGTATTCTTTAGAATTTTCGGTAGAGTAATATATTTTATATACTTTCTTTTCTTTTATTAACCTGATAATACAGTAACAGTTATATATTATCGTTTTTGAACTCGCTTTTCAAAATGAATAGCTTACCTCATGCAATACAATCTTAACAATCGTATCTCAGTCGAAAGCTTAATTTTTCCACAGCGCTTCGGCCCATTATAGCTCAGATTTTTATCGTCTTCCAGTATTGTACACCTACGTTCTGACTTAAAGATATTAGGGGGTAGAAAATCGTGGATGTGCTTTTTGGCCATCAGATCGGCTGCCTGGTCAATATCAAAGTATCTCTCTAGCTCACCAAGCATTCGCCTAATAATATACTTCATCCTTCCTTTGCGCACAAGGTCTTTGTCAGTGTATTGAAAACCGATATATGATAAATAATTTACCGGTAATCCTTCACGAAAACGGAAATCTTTTTTGGTGGCTTGCTTTAGAGCTTGTGGAAGCAATTTTTCCAAAAGGTTGCTCCAAGTGTTTTTCTGATTTATGCTTATTGTGAGGTGCAAGCTATAAGTATCAAGAGCCATTGCTTGATGGATAGTTCCTCGTGGTATATACAACAAATCTCCAGCGCTGATAACCTTATCCAGTATTGGCTCTCTTAACTCCGATTCATCAAAATCCCTTGAGGGATACATTGCCAGAAAATCAGATGATTTAAGTGGTTTATATAATTTCCATCTCTTTTTACCCTCAATTTGCAAAATAAATACGTCCACATCATCAAAATGAGGAGCGAAACCTTGGCTATTAGGTGGCGTGAGATATATATTAGCACCAATAAAGCAACCAAAGATTTCTTGGAGATTAGCTACAAAACACATTACAAATTTAAAAGATAATAATAAATTCTTAAAATATAACTACACTGTATTTTTTACCATTGAAAGCACATATCTGGGGTATAAATGTTTGAGGATTTAACATCCTAACGGAGCAGTTGTTCCTAAAATAGTCTTTAACAATACTCGCATAAGCGCGACCGGGAGGATTATAAATCTCTTTCACTCCATTAGAGTAGGAGGTTATGTCAAGATTTTTAGTAAATAGAACGTTATTATTTCTCAACGTTTCTTCGAATACAGACATTGATAAAAGAGGCTTATAAAAATTACACATATCTCTTTTTATGTATATTGGTTTCATTTGCCAATATCCTCTAATCAAATAAAAAGATTGATATTAATGCACAACAAAAAATATATAAATATATATAAATTGTACTCATCGATTTCAACTTACCTCCCAAAGAATTGCTTTAGAGTTATAGGATATATCAACCATGCTAATAGTTGATTAAAGTCTTCAACAGGATTGCGATGACTATCATTTATCTCAATACTTGCACAAAGTGAATGATTTATATCATGTGAATTTGTATCAAAATAACTTGAATTTATATCATTTAAAATATTTTTCCAACTTTCTATTTCCTTTTTTTCTGATTTTGCAAGAACAATCTCAATTACTTTTTTCCTATATATATTATCCTTTTTCTTATTCTTTTCTTTCATAATTTTTAATTTTGATTTACTCAAGACACCTTTACACTCTATCTTTTTCTTTATGCTTGCTTGTTTAACAGCTTGTTCTTTTCGTTCTTTATCAAAAGTTTTCTGCTTTTTTTCCTTTTTATTCGATAACTGATCTGTTTTTTTACGTTTTGTTTGCACGGCAAAAGCTGATATTGGCTGCTCCATATTACCTGATATTAAATATTAACTCAAGCACAATCAGATCTAACTTAAGTTTATATTTCTTAAACGTTAAGTTAGAATAGTCCAATAGCTTATCACAAATAAGTCAGCAAAGATTTTTTGACGCCTCTTTCTTATCTTTTACTGGTTATTAGTGATCAAAGTCCTTTTAACCTATATCTGTTCGGTTATAACACATAAATTCTTGTATGTGTAATAACTTTCTCTGTAATGATTATATTTCACAATTAAAGTTAAATATAAAATTCTATATAAATTTTTTCATTATAAAATTAAATAGATATCGCTTTCGTTGCGATCTATTTTCTTCTTTTCCAAAAGCAACGTGTTACTAAGATAGGTTAGATTTCAACATATATTGCGTTAATACGTAAGCTACATAAAGAATCAATCAAGTCGATAAATAATCAGAAAATTTTTATAGTTTTGTAAAAAAAACTACGATGTAACTTATTGTTAAACATACTGACCTCTTTTAATATCAAGCATACGTGATAACGAAGCCACGCCGCAGTATATAATATACATTCATTAGAATGAATAAGCAGTTTACGGTGTTAGCTGCGCCACAACCACGTTACAAGTAAACTTCCTTAGCAAAGCGGGTTCCTTCGAATATGCGGGTTCTAGATTTTTATGGTCACCTCTAATCCCAAAGGCTGCTATTTCATTGGTTTCCATCGTACGATACATTTTTCAAGCATGTGATTGGCTTATAAGGGAAATTCGAAGACCTCTCTGTCCTCTTTGTATCTATTTTGAAACTTTTAACGTACTTCATCATATCTGTTATTGCCCAGTTTTTCATCAAAATATTTACGCAACAATATACCTAAGTACTAAAATTATTATTAAAATTATTAAAAAGATACAGAATGGGCTTATCAATAGCCGTATTCTCATAGCCTAAGAATGACAATTTGTTCCGATAAAAAAAAAGAAAGATTCATCCCTTATCTAATGAATAAGAATTAAATTAAAATATAAAAAGTATAAAGTAAAAAGTATGAAATATCAAATCTAAAGAGATCAAATTGAATTTTAATTAAAACGGAATTTAAATTTTCTTTTAGGTTTTTTCAGTCTCGTAAAATTATAAATTCCAGTAAATTGACAAGCTCTAAATATTTCTTGCGAAAAACAATATTTCATCTCATCTCTTTTTGAACGTTGCCAATTTAAAAAAAAATACGATAAATTAAAAAATACCGATGTTATATATAATTATATATATTATAATTACAGATTATTTGAGAATATATTACGAAAAAGATCGATGATTTTTACAGCACATTTTTCGCAGAATCAAATAAAAAGAGAAGATTATATAGATTTTTCCGAAGTTTATTTAGATCCATTAAATCTATACCACCCATAATAAATCTTACGTGACTAAGTTTTGTTTATCTAGAAAATCTATACATAATTATCCGGAAAAAGTAAGATTAAACCCGTACACTGCGATACATGTTACAGTCGAGTCACCCTATTCTGCACTCTACTTTAAACCGCTTCTTCATACACTCTATCTTTCCTATTAATTACATCCTCATCACAATCGGTTTAGAGCGGCATGCCGAACATAGAGACAATAACTTATTCAATGTTTTGGACAATGTTTATAACGCACATGGAATTGTTCTGCATCATATTAAAGTCACATATAATATTTCAAGGGAGTAGTCCGTATCTCAGTCGAGGTATTATTCAATATAGTGCGTAAGTGCCTGTATGCCCGTATGGTGTTTCTTACACACACACACACACACACACACACACACACACACACACACATATACATATATATACTCTCTAAATTCTTTGGAATAAAATTTCATTCTTTTAAAGAATGAAAATTGAGCCAATCTTGAAAAAGATTAACTCAATTTTCAATCTTTAAGAGTCAAATTTCACTTTTCAGAGTGAGATTCATTCTAAAAATGTTAGAGTATATAATGTGTGTGTGTGTGTGTGTGTATGTGTGTGTGTGTGTGTGTGTGTGTGTGTGTGTGTGTGTGTGTGTAATAATAATTTATGTACATTGCGAATAATGCTCTTGAAGACCACATTAAAACTTATAATCTCTATACTTAATGTCGTTATCTTATATATTAATTGCTGTACGATCTTTTGTCGAATGTTTGTCTCGTATGAATTACGATATTTTGTATGAATTACGATATTCTTTCAGCGTGTACCAGTGAATCAAATTCCTTTCCTCCTCATCTCAATGATGTTTTTGATTACATTCAAGAATTAATTATCTATATACATATATATGGTATACGATATATTCTTTAATTTCCCAATTGACTCAAAGTCAACGTGAATATGGGCGTGTTATGTAGCATCTATGTATATTTGGAAAATAATTTACAAAAATTTTTGCTCCGTTTAATTAGTCGTGACTTATTATCATAATTTATCGTTGCGTTACCTCTTCCTAGTCAGATCATCACGTGTAATCTTTTTTTTTTTATTCGCGAATTTTCTCCATGGTACGCGCAGAACTTTTAACTCGAAAGGGTCAATGGTCCGTGTTAATTAATTAACTCCGGTTAACAATTTACTAATCTTTTGTTTTAGATTATACAGCCACAACTATAACGTGCACAACTATAACGGGATCCGGCTACAACGGCAGAAGGTTAAACGGAGTTAATTTGCTGACCGAGCCTGGTGCCCAAGTTGTCGGAAACGTATTATTACATAGATCGTCTCGCTCTGCTCTCTATTATAACAAAACTCAACACAGATCGACAAGGCGCGAAATATTGAGACGCGTGTTCGCTCGACGAAGACACCTCGCCCATCAACCATCGCTGCTTATCCCGATTTCACGTCGTGTCACGTTCGTCTATTGCATTTGCGGAACAAGAAGCGTCATTTTTATCAACGTTTTAAAACAATCAATATTTGTTATCGATACTCCATTACTGACGTAGCTATTATAGTATTATGGTAGCAGAGCCTTGTAGTTCGAGAAAGCAAATAAAGTCTCTGTTGACGTAACAGCAGGTATTAGCTAAAATTTTCTCTACAGAAGACAATATAAAGATCTAATTGAAAACACTTGTTAGAATGTCTTTTAAGTTTAAAATATAATATTTTTTGGATGTATGCAGATCTTCTTTTAAGAATATGATGGAAATTATGTGTGTACGTATACGAATTACGTAAAGAATGTTCAATATTAATGATATTTAAGATTTTTTATTCCATTACATCTATTTTTATAAATTTCTTACACATTAAAGTAAAAAAAGAGAATCCTATATTAAATTTTGATGCACATATGTAGCGAATGTAATTCATATGAATTTATTTCTTAGATTATAAATGTATATATATATATATATATATATATATAGATATTTTTTTAAGTATATGAATTAAAAATAGTTTAAATGTCCAATTTCTTCACTTCCAGATAAGTTGCAGATAATCTTATCAAGGAGATATCCTCATTGTATTCTGGCAGATATCTCTTGGATAAAGTTATTTAGAGGTGAAAAAATTGAACATAAGCCGTATGAGAGATACAAGTTTAGCAGAATGAATGTATCGATAAGAAGTATTGAAGGTTCCAGAGCTTAATACTTTGCAGAAAAACGATTCGGAAAGCCCGTAAATCTCCGTATTACACAAAATATTGTCTTATATGTCAACTTCTCTTAAAATTCTACATGAAGATGGAGACATTTCTTTGAACTTCGATTAATGATTAATATTGGTTATACACAAATCGATCCGTTCGTTATTATACGAGCGGACTTTTGTTCGTACGGTCCTGATTATTTCTTAATCTCATAGGTCGTAGAATATAACATCATAAGTTAATAAGTATATCCGTCCACTGTTATATATCACGCATATTATCGTATTATATTATCAATGGCACATATATTGTTATTTAACGTTTATTTTCAGAAGTGTGTTTAAAGATCACGGATGTGATCGATTATGATCCCCTATTGCATTATTCCCAGATGAATTGATCGTCGACCGACGTAATGCAGATGTAATTGGCGAGTATAATAAACGTAAGAGACACAAAACATGATAGTCGAATATTTTATAAAAATTCAGAGAAAAATTGAAAAATATTATATTCATTAAATATAACGGAATTTAATTAACAACGGAAACCAAAATTCAATAATTATTTCCAATGGTATAAAAGTCTGATCGTGTGGACAAACATGGATAAAACGCATGTCGCATATGCTCTAAACTGTGTTCGCGTTTATTTTATTATACTAATAGAATCTCATAAATATAAGAATTATAGAATATTAACTGAAAATAGATCGAGAAATATTCAAAACAAATAAGTGAAAAGGACCATATTTGATAAAGGCAGGTCTTAGTGCCTAATATTTTTATGTAAATTTTTACAATTTCCAGTTAAGCTCCGATTATTTATTGATCTTGAAACACAGTCTTAGAACAAAAAAATACATAATATCACAAATTAAATTGATAAGAAGTTTAATATTATTAAATTTTTTTTATAATATAATTATATAATAATATAATTATTATATTATTATTATATATATTATATATATTATTATTATATCAATAATTAGATAATATATACTGTGATTTTCTTTCGCGGAAATATGATACTAATTTCAATTTTCTCACATAATAATAACAAAAGTAAAGATACAGAATTAAATATCCGATAAATTTACAGTTAAAAATAAAGCTTTCCTAGATCGAAATATTACGGCAAGCATAGAGATCTATAGATCAGAAATTGATATCGTGTAATTTCAACGAGAAGAATTACAATTATACCGATCTCCTTAAGGATAAGATTACACTTTTTTTAACAAAATGAAAAAAATAAAATTTTTTCTATATTATATTTTAAGATAATACAAAAAAGTAATACAAAAAGTTTGACAGTTTAGAACTTGGATCAGAAATGATTTCAATAAGTAGATATTTTTGAAAAATAATTAAAATGAGAAATTTTTCATTTAAATTATAAAATTGTATTGTTAAATATAAATATTGACCTTATTGTGAACTGTTTCATATGTATATGATACATTCTTTTTTGGAAAGTAAATATTTTCAATTCCAATCATTTTTTGTAGAGACTATACACCTGATACATCCTTAAGCGTGAGACTGGACATTTCATAGCACCTGCATTACTCGACCAACGATCGAAGGTTCAGAACACCAGAGGCTTATAATATAATTTATAAAGATGCGAATTTTTTATAGGACTTGTGGTTGCAGTGGTGTTCTTCGTTCTACCGGCTGACTTTGTAGCGTCAGATATCGAGCAATGTAAACGAATTAGCGAATTATTTAATACCGTGCCTCTAATCTGTACAACTCGGCGATTTCAGATAAAATAATTAGTCTTTAAAAATACGATTTATATACAAATTTTTTGCCCCTTTATATTTATATTTATTATATATTAAAGCTAAATTTTACTTATATACGTCCGAAAGTTACATTCGATATTTGAATATTTGTCGATTATTGAATTTTTAGGACTTTTAGAGTGAATCCTTTTTAAAAAGATCTGGAGCTCGAAGGAAGTTCGCAGCATGCGATTCAGAACAAAATTATTGTCCGAGACGATTAACAATTATTCAAGCAAACAATGACCACTTTCGGCTATTGTCTACCCTTTTCGTTCGCATTGCTCAATAACAAATATTCGATAATTCATTTAATACAATATATAGAGGGCTCATAATTGCTCGCAACGCGCTGTCTGCTTCGATTTTCCATCTTGCTTCGATTTTTCATCACTACAAATATCTTTCATATAGACT